GTCCTCATTCAATTCTTCTAAGCCCTGATGAAGTGAGAGTTTTGTTGCCCCCTAAAAGTGATGGCTGTTTTTATGTGAAGGTATTACGAACATTTAGGCTAAATTCAGCTGCTATCTGATTTTAAATTTGGATGAAAATTGGATGTTCCTGGATGTGGTTTGCATGTTCTATGGGGGCAAAATCATTCTGGAATCACATCAAAGTGGTACAGAAACATTTTCCAAAATCACACCATACTGTGTTGCATTGGTTTGCATTGTTGCATTGAATGGAGACAGTTGAAAACATTGATTCAAGTCACCTCTGAAATCACAGTAGTGTGAACAGAGCCTTAGAGGCAATTTGGACTCTTTCACTTTGTGGTTTGATGCCTGTTTGAAGTTCTGTGTCAAGACCTGGATCATGTGCTGGTGGCACTATGGTTCCCAGAGTGGAAGGTTGTAGTTCCGATGTCTACCAGTGGGTGTCTCCCAGCAGGTCCACATCAGTCTCCAACTGATGCTGGCTGCTGGAAGGGTATTTAGTTTCTCATCTACCAGCACCTCTCGATTCAGTGTTTTGCTCTGCTAGCCAGATACTGCTTGCTATTTATGTTGACCCTGCTCCTAATCTTGCTTTTGTCTTATACCTATACCCTTTACCCTACTGCTTTGTTCCTACTCCCTCTGTTCTTGATCCCAGTCTTGGTTCCCCCCTCCTGACTGTTCTTTGCACTTCCAGTTTTGCCCTGTAATTCCGTCTTTCCCATTTTGTATACATTGTGTACAGTTTATTTGCTATAAGCTTTCTTTCACTAAGGTTGCTAATTAGACATTTTGCCATCTGGTTATGGTTCACTTGTGTATTCACATTTGCTGTCTTTCCCATTTGGTGGTGTTTGAACATCTTGTGTTTTACTATTATTAAACTTACTTTAATACACAGTACATCCAGAAAGTATTCACAGCGCTTACTGTTTGCCACATTTTGTTATGTTACAGCCTTATTCCAAAATGGATTAAATTCATTTTTTTCCTCAACATTCTACAAACAATACCCCATAATGACAATGTGAAAGAAGGTAATTTTGAAATCTTTGCAATTTATTCAAAATAAAAAATAAAAAAAAAACACATGTACATAAGTATTCACAGTCTTTGCTCAATACTTTGTTGAAGCCCCTTTAGCCCCAATTCCAGCCTCAAGTCATTTTGAGTATGATGCTACAAGCTTGGCACACCTATTTTTGGCCAATTTCTACCATTCTTTTTTGTAGTACCTCTCAAGCTCCATCAGGTTGGATGGGGAGTGTCGGTGCACAGCCATTTTCAGATCTCTCCAGAGATGTTCAATTGGGTTCAAGTCTGGGCTCTGGCTGGGCCACTCCAGGACACTCACAGAGTTTGCTCAAAGCCACTCCTTTGTTATGTGGGCTGTGTGCTTAAGGTTGCTGTGATGATGTCACAAGGGGGTGGGGGTGACCTGCGCCCTTGTGATGTAATCACAGTATATAAGAACTGTCATCTCGGTTCAGCTGTCCGCGGGAGCCAGCGTCAAGAGCGGAGCATTTTTTTTCTTTTTTTTCGAGTCAGCGGTGATGGAAGACATCATGATTGACATTGGATCTACTTCGGGGGTCATTTTTTAATTTTTATTTTTAATAAAGGACTGTCTTCTGTCATTTTTTACACTACACTTTTTTTTGTGAATGCGTAGCGGTACCATATACCCCCTACTCATTCTCATGGGGATGCCGGAATCTTGGGGCCCCTTGTTAAAGGGGGCTTTCAGATTCCATTAAACCCACACCCACAGACCTCCACAACCACCGGCAGGGTTGTGTGGGGAAGAGGACCTTGTCCCCATCAACATGGGGACAAGGTGCTTTGGAGTGGGGGTGGTCGCTCGTCCACCCTTTCCTGACCTGTCGGGCTGCATGCTTGGATAAGGGTCTGGTATGGATTTTGGGGGGGGCCCCCATGCTAGTTTTTTAAAACATTTTGGTGTAGGGGTTCCTATCAAAATCCATACCAGACCTGAAGGGCTTGGTAAGAATGAGGGGAGAGGACACCACGTGTTGTTGTTTTTTTTTTTAATTGCCAGGCAATGCCCGCAATTCTTTCTACAGTAAATGAAATACATTTTACATTTACATGAAATATTTTTTTCACTACTTAAATACCGCATTATCTAATAATATATCTCATGCGGTATTTTGGTAGCTGTGCGGTATCTTACCACATACTCAGATGAGGTATGATACCGCTTAGTGAACTATCCACTCTGTTCGAAGTTCTCGGTTGAACTTTCGTTAGGGTCAGCTCATCATTAATAATTATATTTATATTCCTATCAGAAATAGGTTAGATATGTTCCCTGTTAAGTGTAACCATGATTTTCCATCCATAATCCTCATGTAGAGCAATATTTATACCCATATTCCGTTCAGAAACAGGTCAGATGTGTTTCTTTGTATGTGTAAATATAATTTTCAGATTAAGTATCTTGCGTGTTTAAGTGAAAGCGTGGGAATTTCAAACATAACCCCATTCATAAAAGCATTTATCTCCATACTTTTTTAAGAAAGAGGTGAATTGGGTTTTTTTTTTGTGTAATCGTGATATTCTCCCAATAATCCCTGCATAGATTATGTTCCTTGTTAAGTGTAACCATGATATTCCATTCATAATCATCATGAAGAACAATTGCACACATAATTGTTTTAGAAACTAGATAACGAGCTTCCGTGTATAGTGATATATATATGAGATTTCCCCCATAACCCCCATATATGAAAGTATTTTTACCCATATTTGTTTTAGAAACAGGTCAAATATGTTCCTTTATATGTTTAATCATAATAGTCCACCAATAATCCCCATGTAGAAAAATAATTATATTTATATTCTTATCTGAAATATGTTCAATATTTTCCTTGTGTAACCATATTATTCCATCCATAATACCCATGTAGAATAATAATTATACCCATAATCTTTTTTTAGAAACAGATTAAGTATCTTCCTTGTTAAATGTAGGAATGATATTTCCCCCATACCTGAAATATAAAAGTAATTTTACTCATATTCGTATCAGAAAGAGATCAAATGAGTTTCTTGGTATGTGTAATTATGATTTTTTTCCTCCATAATCCCCTTGCAGAAATATAATCTAATCATAAACAGAATAAATATGTTCCTTGTTAAGTGTAACTATAACATTTCTTCCATAATCACCATGAAGAAAAATAATTAAACCAATACTGCTGTCAGAAACAGGTCAAATGCATTATGTAGTATGTGTATCCATAATATTGCACCCATAATTTCATTTGTAAAAAAAAATATATATATATATATACCCATGTTCTAATCAGAAACAGCTCAAATGTGTTCCTAGGCATGTTTAGCCATGATATTCCACCCACAATCCCCATGCAGAAAACCCATAATCTTTTCAGGAACAAAGTAAATATGTTCCTAGTTAAGTGTAACCATTACATTTCCCAGACAATCCCCATATATAAAAGTAATTTTACCCATATTGTTATTTAAATGGGTCAAATGTGTTACATGGGATGTGTAACCAAGATATTCCCCCCATAATCCCCCCTGTAGAAAAATAATTATATGCATTTTTTTTTATCAGAAATAGGGTTAATATGTTCCTTGTTAAGTGTAACCATTATATTCCATCCATAATCCCCATGCACAACAATAATTATATCCATATTTTTTTAAACAGGTTAAATATCTTGTTTGGTAAATGTAAGCATGGGATTTCCCCCATAACCCCATTTATAAAAGCAATTTTACCCATATTGTTAACTGAAACAGATCAAATATTTTTCTTTGTATGTGTAAATTATGATATTCTGTGTTTTTTTTATGTCAAATTAAAAAAAAAAAAAATGTCAGTCCTGTACAGATTTGAAACTTTAAGGGGACACCCCAGGCATAATATTTAAAGTAATGTTTTTTTTTTTTTTTACTTTAAGCAATGAAAATAACTGCCCCTTTGAAAGCGGTACATTTTGAAAAAAACATTTTCACCGATTCATGTCCCTCAGGGCGGTACCCAAGTCTCCGTACCCCTTTTATGGCCAATAACTTGCATATAAGCCTTCAAAATGGGTACTTTTGAATTTACAAGTTCAAGTCCCATAAGCATGCATTAAATTTGAAGTTCACTGTTGAACATTCATTAGGTCTGAATGTTCGACCACAAACTGAACACGGGGGTGTTCGCTCCATCACTAGAGACCAGTAGCTATAGCAGTTGAGAGGTTCACACTGACCAGGAGGATACTGTAAGTATACAAGCAGGTCACTCTGATGGATGATGCAGGCTCACCCAAGGCACAGAGTCTAAGCTCCTGACGGTGAAGAAAAAATGTATCTTTCAAAAACTAAAAAAAAAAAGCAATTATTTGTTATTGTCATCCAGTTAGGGTTTACAACTACTTTAACACTTAAAACTCAATAATAATTCTGACAGATTTTTTTTTGTGATTTAAAGTTTTTAAAACTTATGTTTTATATCCTTTATACTGAAAAATAAACATTTAGTTAATTATGTTTATTATTTATTACTTTGCACCCATGACACTAAAAACACAGCACACTGAAGGTTTTCTACATAAGGAAGACATCAGAAGCTGTTTGCTCTCAGACGATCTAACTAACATTCATTATGAAGATGGATTTTACTGCATGCTAGTGCCAGGTTTGCAATCCTCAGGATCGCCCCAACTGGAGGAGAGCAAGCCAAGATCCGATGGTTGAAAAACAAGCCAAAGGTTGGTAACAGATGGTTTCAGGTTGGGATCAAGTGGAAGCATTGTCACGGAACAAGCCAAAGATATTGGCTGGAGAGAGCACAATAATCTCTCCAGAAATCATAATAGATTCACCATAAAAAAAGACACAACGCAAGGTTGTCCAAGGAATCAGATAGTTTGCTCTCCAACATCTCATATGGCACATAAGAAAATGCACAGCCAGGGGTGGACTGACAACTCATGGGGCCCTGGGCAATAGGGGATCATGGGGCCCCTGTGTTCTTGCCCAAACTTAAAAAAGTCTATGAAAAAGGTACCAGGGGCATCTCATGGGGCCCCCTACTGACCCCGGGCCCTCGGGCAGTGCCGAGTTTCCAATTGGTCAGTCCGCCCCTGATCGTGATCACACAGCTTCATGCCCTAATAGACCACCTATAATTTGGGGTTTTTAATTCTGGTAAGAGGCTGTGTTTGGTAATTTGGAGTTTCCAAATGGTCAGTCCGCCCCTGTGCACAGCCATATACTGAAGAGGTTCCAGGTCCAGATCTGCAACCTGACAGGTATGCTGTGATTGGGAGGCACCAGGAAAAGAAAATGACTGTAAGTATTTGATACAATTTTCTGTTTTCCTATTGTCAATATACATGGCATAATACTACACACAGCTTTTCCTCCTGTACCACTATCCCCTCCCTCCTAGATTGTAAGCTCCAAGGAGCAGGGCCCTCGAACCCCTCGGGTATCGCATTGTATTGTTATTGTACTGTCGCATGTTCTGTCTCCCATTGTAATGTACAGCGCTGAGCGAACTGTTGGTGCTTTATAAATACTGTATAATAATAATAATACTACCACATGTATCTGGTTATACTGTAAGGTAGTGGATATCTTACAAGAATGTCAGAACAGAATTTCTGAAAGTGCTGGCAGATAAACCAATAAAACAGTTTATTTATTTATTTTTCAACTGTGCATTTTGCAGTTTAGCTTTATATAGCCTTTTTTTTTATTATGGATTCCTGGGCAGCTGGCAACCTTGATGTGAGTCATTTCTTTCAGCGAACTATTCACAGGTTCTTTAGGATATTCACTCCATTACATGTATTTCACAGCATGAACGCACACCGTTAGAGTGATTTGAAATGTCAGCTAGTGTGCAGGTAAAGATTTGAAATTAATTAAAGAAGGATTAGAGCTAATCAAACCTAGCCCGGTTCCAACAATGTTTAACTTTTCTTCTTTTTGAACACATAGTTTAAATGCTATTCTTATGTATTCCTAGAGTTCTCCTTTAGCAGACAATACGATTGTCTCACTGCTGTGCAATAAATAATTTCAACCCAGCTGGATAAGGTTCCATTTGCCTCATGTCACATCTATTAAAGAGATTTTTTTTTCTGGGCTCCCTGGTCGGAGTAATTTGGATGGTAATCTGTTAGTGTTTTCTGACAACCCATAAGGTTGAAAAATTATAAAATAAAAATCAAACAAAAGAAAAAAAATTACAAAAGAAAAAAAAATCAGCTAAACAAGAGCTAGCAGGAGGCAGAAGCAAAACAACAATTTATTAATTGGTCAAGTCTGATGCAGGAGCCAGAATGATCAGAGACTCATTAAACAGCGTCTGGCAAAAGCCAAGTTTCCTTGTCTTGTGTTCCTGTGACAGAGGCTTTGGGCAGTCTGTAATTGTCAATCCCATTAATGAGTTTACATAAATTGTATAGCTGAAGGCCAAAAGTCTCAGCCCACTTTATCCCTGTGAGAAAACATATGTGAGGATTGCCTTCTAAGAATTCTGGGTAAAAAAAGCCAATCATCCATAATTACGTTTTGGTGTCATGGATAATCATTGCACACAGACAATTACTGCGTAAACCGCTCCGGAAGCTCTTCTTTTTCACATCTTGTAGTGTTTATGCAATAAACATTCATGCCATTTTGTATTTTTTCTGAATCTGCCTTGAAAACAGATTATCTATGGTAACATTATCCGTAATGTACTCTGCTTTTTATTACATGTTTTGATTTTTTTTTTCTCTTTTGTACATTGTGATTTGAAACAGGGACACCAATGGACATTGTATGTGCACATTTAGAGTTTTGAAATAACTATTTTCATTTGGAAGAAAAAAAAAAAAAGCAATTTTCAGATTTTTAGTGGCTTGTTATTTCACAAGCTGCTTGCTGCATCCTTTAAAAAATAATAATAAATGTTTCAAAATTCTTTACACAAAGGTGCTTGTTTGAGAAAAAAGGATAAAATGATTTTACAAAAGGGAAAATTGGAAAAACTGGATAAAGGCAAAATGCTGATATTTCCCAGAGAAACCATTTAAAACGTAAAGTCACCTTTGAACATTAGAAGATAAATAATAACTCCACTTCAATGAAGCTGATGGAGGAACATTGGCCTGTTTAAAGCGTATCTAATCCAAAAACAAAAATGTAATATGTTGTAGTTTACCAATCCTTAGATGTTGCAGCTGTATTATTTTCAGACTTTTTTCCCCTTTATTATTACCTGGTCCAATAAATAACACTTTTCATTTCCTTTTGTGGCTTGAGTTTTACTGCATCTATGGAGAGCTCTAGTTGTCACACAGGCTGGACTTCAAACATGTCTTCCTTTCTAGTCCTGGATGGGACTAGTAGTTTACACCAGTCCACAGGGGTTCCACTGCAAGAACCAGATCTGAGCAATCCTCTGTTAACTCCTGAGATAGAGGAGGGAGAGAGCACTGTTAACTCCCATCTATAGAGGCAGAGAGCTCAGCCTGCACCAACTCCCGGCTCTCTTCTCCTCTCTGTACTATTGCCAGCAAAACAGAAAGCCATGCTGACCGCCCGCTTCCAACCAACTGATGACTGCATCAGTTGCTAAGGACATGTTGGGTTGGCAGGACAGCTTTCTGTTTTGCCGGAAATGGTACAGAGAGGAGGAAAGAGCCAGGAGGAGGTGTGGGCATTCTATCTCTCCTGTACACAGGAGTTAACAGTGATATATATATATATATACTGTATATATATATATATATATATACCGTATTTGCCGGTGTATAAGACGACTTTTTAACCCATGAAAATCTTCTGGAAAGTCGGGGGTCGTCTTATACGCCGGTATACGGCGAGCCGGTGTCAGGGCAGCACTTTTTCCAGGGGCGGCGCGGTGGCGGAAGGGACACTAAGTACAGGGGCGGGCAGTGGGCTGCTGTACCTTACTTGGCTCCGGTCCCGGTCCCACGACGATCCGGTTCAGGAAGCGCGGCTGCTCCTTCTTTCAGTTCGGCCGCTCGATGGTCGCGTGGCCGCTCGGCTCCGCCTCCTCACCGGTGATTGGGCGCCAGCACTGGAAAGGCACACAGGCGACCAATCATCGGCGAGGAGGCGGAGCCGAGCGGCCCCGCGAAAATTGAGTGAGGGAGCGGCCAGTAAGTGTGCAGCAGCACCATGCTGTGACACTCTTGGCACTATTCCTCTCCCCCACTGACACCAACGATGAGGCACTGTTCCTCCCCCACTGACACCAATGATGAGGCACTGTTCCTCCCCCACTGACACCAACGATGAGGCACTGTTCCTCCCCCACTGACACCAACGATGGGGCACTATTCCACCACCACTGACACCAACGATGGGGCACTGTTCCTCCTCCCCAATGACACCAAAGATGGGGCACTATTCCTCCCCCACTCACACCAACGATGAGGCACTATTTCTCCCCCCACTGACACCAATGATGAGGCACTATTCCTCCTCCACACTGACATCAACAATGAGGCACTGTTCCTCCCCCACTGACACCAACTATGGGGCACTATTCCTCCTCCCCACTGACACCAACAATGGGGCACTATTCCTCCTCCACACTGACACCAACAATGGGGCACTATTCCTCCTCCCCACTGACACCAACAATGGGGCACTATTCCCCCCCCCCCACTGACACCAATGATGGGGCACTATTCTCCCCACTGATACCAATGATGGGGCACTATTCCTTCCACTGATACCAATGATGGGGCGCTATTCCTCCCACTGACACCAATGATGGGGCGCAATTCCTGCCACTGATACCAATGATGGGGCGCTATTCCTCCCACTGACACCAATGATGGGGTGCTATTCCTCCCACTGACACCAATGATGGAGCACTATTCCTCCCACTGACACCAATGATGGGGCACTATTCCTCCCACTGACAGTAATGATGGGACACTATTCCTCCCACTGACACCAATGATGGGGCACGATTCTTCCCACTGACACCAATGATGGGGCACTATTCCTCCCACTGACAGTAATGATGGGACACTATTCCTCCCACTGACACCAATGATGGAGCACGATTCTTCCCACTGACACCAATGATGGGGCACTATTCCTCCCACTGACTAATGATGGGGCACTATTCCTCCCACTGACACTAATAATGGGACACTATTCCTCACACACTGACACTAATGATGGGGCACCATCATTGGTGTCAGTGGGAGGAATAGTGTCCCATCATTGGTATCAGTGGGAGGAATAGTGCCCCATCATTGGTGTCAGTGGATGAAATAGTGCCCCATCATTGGTGTCAGTGGGAGGAGTAGTGCCTCATCATTGGTGTCAGTGGGAGGAGTAGTGCCTCATCATTGGTGTCAGTGGGAGGAATAGCACCCCATCATTGGAATACCATACTGAAATAGCATACCATATTGAAATCAAATCTGATGTTTTTTCATTTTTATTTGGTGTGTGTTGGAAGAGGGGTAGTCTTATACGGCGAGTCGTCTTATACGCCGGCAAATACGGTATATATATATATCCTGCTCAAAAAAATGAAAGGAATATTTTTTAATCAGAGTATAGCATCAAGTAAATTAAACTCCTGGGATTTTGAACTGCACAGTTAAGTAGCAGAGGGGGTTGTTAGTCAATTTTAGCTGCTTTGAAATTAACAACAGGTGCACTAGATGGGTAACAATGAGACAACCCCTAAAACAGGAATGGTTTTACAGGTGGAGGCCAGTGACATTTTTTTCCCTACTCATGTTTTCTGACTGTTTTTCACTTGTTTTGCATTTGACTAGAGTCAGTGTCACTACTGGTAGCATGAGGAGATAACTCGTTGCTACAGAGGTTGCACAGGCTGTCCAACTCCTCCAGGATGGCACATCAATACATGCCATTGCCAGAGGAGGAAATTCCAGGCAGTTACTCTAGGAGAGCTAGACAGGGCCGTAGAAGGTCCTTAACTGATCAGCAGGACCGGTATCTACTCCTTTGTTCAAAGAGGAACAGAATGAGCACTGCCAGAGCCCTACAAAATGATCTCCAGCAGGCCACTGGTGTGAATGTCTCTGACCAAACAATCAGAAACAGACTTCATGAGGGTAGCCTGAGGGACTGACATCCTTTAGTGGGTCCTGTGCTCACTGCCTGGCATCATAGAGCTCAATTGGCATTTGCCATTGAACACCAGAATTGGCAGATCCTCCACTGGCTCCCTGTACCTTTCACAGTTGAAAGCAGGTTCACCCTGAGCACATGTGACAGACGTGAAAGGGTCTGGAGAAGCCGTGGAGAACGTTATGCTGCCTGTAACATCATTCAACATGACCGTTTTGGTGGTGGGTCAGAGATGGTCTGGGGAGGCATATCCATGGAGGGACACAACGACCTGTACAGGCTAGACAATGGCACCCTGACTGCCATTAGGTATCGGAATGAAATCCTTGGACCCATTGTCAGACCCTACTCTGGTGCAGTGGGTCCTGGGTTCATCCTGGTGCACAACAATGCCCAGCCACATGTGGCAAGAGTATGCAGGCAGTTCCTGGAGGATGAAGGAACTTATACCATTGAATGGCCCCCACGCTCGCCTGACCTAAATTCAGTCCTCTGTAGGTTGATAATTTTCATTTCTATCAAACGATGGGGCATCCTTACATTCCTAACACATTACCTAGTCTATATCAGTATAGATATCCAGCATGATATTTTTCCCCATTGAGATCTTATGGGTTTTCAAAGTGTCCCTTTATTTTTTTTTAGCACTATATGTATATATATATATATATATATATATATATATATTTATTTATTTTTGAATTTGAATATGCTTTAAGACTGGATTAACGCTTTTCTATCTAAGTTAATAGGACCCATTATACCTGGATTTAAGGGTATCATGACCTTTTGTAATGCCCCCCCCTCCATTGCCCCCAAGTTAATGTGTTAAAAAAAATGGCACCTAACCTTTGAACACAACACAATGGGGTTGACTTACTAAAACTGGAGCGTGCATAATCTGGGGCAGCTGTACTTGGCAGCCAATCAGCTTCTAACTTCAGCTTGTTAAATTAAGTCTTGCAAAAAACCTGGAAACTGATTGGTTTCTATGCACAGCTGCACCAGATTTTGCACTCTCCAGTTTTAGTAAATAAACCCCAATGTGTAGATATGAATATACATGCATGTTGGTCACCTGTGTTGCAAAAAAATTAGGTACATATTTTGGTCCATGGACATCTGCCAAGGACTTATTGAAAATTAATAAGCCCATGCAACAAAATATATAAGTGCTCCAAACAAAATGTGTGTTTATGAACATAGACCAATGAGAATGGGTCCTTAGGCTTTGCAACAATATTTTTTACAGAATAACCAAGTTGTTCTTTTTTTGGTCAACTCTGGAGACCTTTCTTGACTAATATCTATGCTGCCGCCTATACAGTTCTCAAGGCACAAATACCATTGCTACATCAAAGTAAGGTACCTTCAGGGTTGGGGGGGTATAAAGAAAAAAAAAGTAGTAAGTCGCAATTAAAGTAAATATCCATCTTATTTTTTTTTAGTTGTTTTTTTGAGAGCCTAGCCAGCCTTCTCAAAAATAACAAAATGCAGTGCTCACTATGATACATCCTTTTTTTCACTGTACTCCACAGAAACTCTACTTTACTGTCATCTGCAGGACATCTTATAGCTGAGCAAAGACCAGCATCATTCAACCCACTTCATATAAAGGAAAGTTCCGGATGGCAGCATTTTAACAGATCCACTTTATAGTATACGAGGGGCGACTGAAAAGTTCTCGGCCTACACATGAAGCATTTGTCTTTTATTTTTGCTACTCATAGTCCATATCTTTGCAAGGTTCTATGACAGTGGGGAACAAGGGTAAGGGTAACATGTTTCATGCTGTATCACTTACTCATAACCAAATTTTGTTGTACATGCTATGTAGTTTTGTGTACAGCTATTAGATTTGGTGGAGATATTACATTTAAAGTACCTGCACCATTTAAGAAAAAACAAAACATGCGTGTCTTATGGGGTTTGAACATGGAAAGTCTTTTTATTAAGCTGTGTTCACATTTCCCAGAGTGGGCCAGTTCTGGCTTAATCACTGACAGCTGTGAGCACAATATATTTGTCTGTGTTAGATGAGGTTATGAGTAGGCGTTAACGAGGAAAACATGTCAACTTTACTCTTGTTCCCCCACTGTCTGTGACTTGTTTTATACTAATAAAGTGAATCTATTGGAGTGCTGCCATCTGGAACTTTCCTTTATACATTGATCAGCTTGCAAGCTGGGTTGGCACCCAACCGGCAGGTGTGTGGGATGTGTACAAGCGGACCGACATGGAGAAGCGGCTCTTCAGTTCTTATTCAACCCACTTTCTCTGAGCCCAAGCTGTCAAGAACCCACCACTTGGGTCACAATGTTAGCCTTACAGTGCAATTCAGAGAGTATATGCATGCCCACAGGGTGTACCGGTTATACCTGGGAACAGGGGCGGACTGACAACTCATGGGGCCCCCGGGCAATAGGGGATCATGGGGCCCCTGTGTCCTTGCCCAAACTCAAAAAAGCCTATGAAAAAGGTACCAGGGGCATCTCATGGGGACCCCTACTGACCCCGGGTCCTTGGGCAGTGCCCGAGTTTCCAAATGGTCAGTCCACCCCTGCCTGGGAATAACCTAATCACCCTATGTGCGTTAGCGTATTGCTCTGTGTGCTGGAGAGAAGATGGAAAAGTTCTCCCTCTGGCTGTCTCTACTATAAAAGAAGTGCCAGCGGAGATATGGGAAAGATCTCCCACTGAGTGGTTCTCATGCTGAATCTGCAGGAGGGAGATAAACCTACAGCTAATGTCATTACAAACTATCTTCAGTGTAGAGAAGAACAAGGAGTCCTGGAAGTGATGGTTTGGCCCCCACAGAGCCATGATCTCAACATCATGGAGTTAGTCTGGAATTACATGAGGAGGCAGAAGGATTTGAGGAAGCCTACATCCACAGAAGATCTGTGGTTAGTCCTCAAAGATGTTTGGAACAACTTTCCTGTGGAGTTCCTTCAAAAACTGTGTGCAAGTGCAATTATTATTATTATTATTATACAGGATTTATATAGTGCCAACAGTTTGTGCAGCTCTTTACAATATAAGGGAGACAGTACAATTACAATACATTTCAGTACAGAAGGAATGTGAGGGCCCTGCTCGTGGAGTTTACAATCTAAAGGATTAGAAGAATCTAAGCTGTTTTTTTTTTTTTCAAAATGTTTTTATTAAAGATTTTCAATAACAGGATAATGTTATAATAATGACGTTCAGTTCAATAACAATTGTAGTCATACAATACATTATTGGAGCATGTGTACCCCACCATTTGGCTGGGGACAAGGAATAAGACAATAGTAACATAGGTAGATACGGATATATACTGAACTTTGGTGAGGTGTAGAAAAATGGTAGAGGGGTGTAAACATGGGGAGAACAGGAAGAGGGTAGGGAGAGGAAGAGGAAGATATAATGGGATGGGGGGAGGAGTACCAGTCTAAAATGGATGGGTAATTCAATTGTTTGTACAAAATCAGGCTTGTACTGAGCAATTGGGATGTTTTAATCAGTTAGTCCATTGGGAATTAAATTTGTATTGGGTGGAGTTGTTGAGGGCCAATCTTTTTTCCATTTTGCATTGGAAATTAAGATCTGTAATTAGTGATTTGAGAGAAGGGGCAGTAGTGGTGTTCCATAATCTGGTTAGAGAGATTTTTGCTGCGAAAAGTATGTGGACAATTATGGTGCGAGAGGTATAGGGGAATTTTTCAATCCCAATATGTAAAAGCGCAAGTAGAGGGTTTGGGGTTATCACTGTTTGGGTTATTTCAGAGAGTAGTTGGAAGACACGTTTCCAAAAGGATTTAATTGATTTGCATGACCATAATATATGTAGTGTCGAACCTATGTCTCCGCATTGTCTCCAGCAAGAAATCTAAGCTGTTTTGAAGGCAATGAATGGTCACACCAAATATCGATTTGATTTGGATTTCACTTCTGTTCATTTACTTTCCATTATGTTAATTGATAAAAATAAACTATTACCACTTCTCATTCTAAAAGCATTTTTATTTACAGCATTTTCTACACCTGCCTAAGACTTATGCACAGTACTGTATGTATATATAGATAGATAGATTTTTTATTATTATTATTATACAAGAGTTATATAGTGCCAACAGTTTGCACAGCTCTTTACAATATAAGAGATGCATGTGTGTTTGAGCTTTGGGGTGCACACTCTAAAGCAATAGGCTGCACCCACCTATGGCAGAGAGTACTGCTGACATTACAACATTCAAGGAAGTTAGAAAAGGATCTTTTTGCAGAGAGGTCACTCTTACCCACTTTGCTGACTGATGTACAAATCTAAATCTCCTGTCCTATCAACAGCAAATGGTTATATCAGTATCATGGCTGCAGCTACATTTTCCTGAAAACATACATTTGATATTTGACTTCACAAATATTGTGCAACATTCAAAATTGCAACAGCCAGCATTTTATTCCCCACAGCCTCTGCTTTTAGAAAATATAAAAGTTTATTAAAATCAGTAAAAAAAAAATGCTGATTTTAACAGGTATGTGAAAATGTTCAAAATTGCCCTGTGCAGCTAATGGTTAAAGTGTTAATTCACCTTTACAGAAAATCTGTTAAGTTGTCGTAAAACCGGGCCTCTTATGATCCCACTGTACTTACCTCCCATGATCCTGAGCTGTTGCGGCTCCCATTAGCCACTCCACCAATCTGGGGATTTGAAATCCTTGCTGCTTTCTCTTCCCTTCGTACTGCATTGCCAGTAAAGACCAGACAGATCCTAACTGGTCAGCACTGTCACATGGACAGCACTGACCAATCAGAATCCATCTAATCCCTCCTAGTTTTGATCTCAGCAGTAAAAGGCAGAAGACTAAGACTCAAGTGACTGGTGCCTAAAATCTTCTGCCCCACCATACACCCAGGAGCAGACCCCGAGATTGAAATTGTAGCCTACCTCACTATTTGGAGAGTCATCTTGCAGCAAGGGGAGGGGTGCTACATGGTAAACTGAATGAAGTTGAACTTTTATCCTAAGTCTCCGTATTGTTACTTTAATGGAATAGGTGCATTCACTGACCAACAGGAATACCTTGGAGTCCGGGCTAAGCTCTATTTTACAGGAAAGTCTAAAAATTCAGCTGACTGTATCCACAAATCTGTTGATTGATTTGACGTTCGCTTTCCGTTGAAGGTCACTTCTCTTTATGTATTATTTATCTATTATATGCTCGGTCTGAATTGTCTGTGTTTGCAAAACAGTTTTGAAAAATTGTCTTCGGAATGATAAAAGAGTCAACTTTTGAAGTGGAGGGGAGAGAAAGAGATCATTTAGACCAGTGCTTCTTAACCTGGGTTCGATCGAACCCCAGGGGTTCGGTGAGTCAGTCTCGGGGGTTCAGCGGAGGTGACCCACACCCGACTCATATGATTTGTGATGACATGCCCCGCTTGTCCATCATTGGCTGCAGGTGGTCACGCAACATCGCTTAGCCCAGTGGTCGGCAAGCCGCGGCTCTTGTGTGCCGGGCGCCCGCTCCCCTCCCTCCTCTCGGGCGGCAGGGACTCAAATGCAATGATTGGCCAGTCTCGCTGCCACTCACATCCTGATAGCCAGTGATTGGCTGTCAGGATGTGTGTAGGGGCAGCGTGACGAACGTGAGAGGAGCTAGGCTCCTCTCACAGTCCGCCCTGAAGACCGGAACGGCGCGGGAATACAGCGAGAGGAACGCGCGGAGCAAAGGTAAGTGAATTGACACAGGGGGGACTTGGGGACTTAATATGGGGGATGAATTAATATGGGGAATGAATTACTATAGGGGGGATGAATTACTATATGGGGGATGAATTACTATATGGGGGATGAATTATTATATGGGGAATGAATTACTATATGGGGGATGTATTACTATATGGGGGATGAATTACTATATGGGGGATGAATTACTATATGGGGGATGTATTACTATGGGGGATGAATTACTATATGGGGGATGAATTATTATATGGGGGATGAATTACTATATGGGGGATGTATTACTATATGGGGGATGTATTACTATATGGGGGATGAATTACTATATGGGGGATGTATTACTATGGGGGATGAATTACTATATGGGGGATGAATTACTATGGGGGATGAATTACTATATGGGGAAGGAATTACTATAGGGGGGATGAATTACTATATGGGGGATGAATTACTATATGGGGGGATGAATTACTATGGGGGATGAATTACTATGGGGGATGAATTACTATGGGGGATGAATTACTATATGGGGGATGAATTACTATGGGGGATGAATTTTTTCATACCATTTGTTACAACATATCTTTGCGAGCAATCCTTTTCGAGGATGCTGGACATAAAGACGAAGAAAAGGAACAGACTTTGTTGCGAAAATGACATGAGAGTGGCACTTGCCAAGGTAATGCCGCGCATTTCTGAACTGGCCTCTGAAAGACAACAGCAGAAAGTCACACTGATTTGCGGTAAATATTCATTATTTTGTTTTTGTGTGAAAATCATGTTTTAATGGTTTTGTTCTTTGTTCTTAATGGTTTTGTTCATTTTGTGCACCTATGTATAAATATATACCTATGTTTTGAATATTAAAAATCATATTTTATTTTTCCAATTAAGAAGGGTTCGGTGAATGCGCATATGAAACTGGTGGGGTTCAATACCTCCAAAAAGGTTAAGAACCACTGATTTAGACAGTTGCTGGCTCTGCTTTACTTTTTCCTAATCTTTTGATGCCAAAATTCTCTACTCTGAATGTCCCATAGCCATAATTTTGATGATCTAGTCTAGCCCTTCTAAACCAGGGTTTCCTGGAACCTTAATGTTTCTCCAAAGGTTTCTAGGGTTCCTTGAGCAATAAGCAACTTCTTCCTCATATATAAGTAACCACTGAAAGCAATAACCTTTTTAGCTATCTGTAAGGGAAGTACCTTCCCTATGACTGTAAGCAGGGCAACATACAGTGGGGATCGAAAGTTTGGGCACACCAGCTAAAAATTTGTATTAATGTGCATAAAGAAGCTAAGGAAAGATGGAAAAATCTCCAAAAGGCATCATATTACAGATTTGACATTCTTATAATATGTCAACAAAAGTTAGATTTATTTCCATCATTTACACTTTCAAAATAACAGAAAACAAAAAAATGGCGTCTGCAAAAGTTTGGGCACCCTGCAGAGTTAATATCTTGTACTGCCCCCTTTGGCAAGTATCACAGCTTGTAAACGCTTTTTGTAGCCAGCCAAGAGTCTTTCAATTCTTGTTTGAGGTATCTTTGCCCATTCTTCCTTACAAAAGTCTTCCAGTTCTTTGAGATTTCTGGGCTGTCTGTCACGCACTGCTCTTTTAAGGTCTATCCATAGATTTTCAATTATGTTGAGGTCAGGAGATTGTGAAGGCCATGGCAAAACCTTCAGTTTACGCCTCTTGATGTAATCCCCCGTGGATTTCGAGGTGTGTTTAGGATCATTATCCATTTGTAGAAGCCATCCTCTCTTTAACTTCAGCTTTTTCACAGATGGCATCAAGTTACCATCCAAAATTTGCTGAAATTTTATTGAA